ACACCTGGTTAACCAGTTCTTCCTGAGTAGGAGCGTGCGAGAACGAAGGAGTTCCTGGAGGAGCTATCGTATTCCGTATTGCTCAAGGGATAATACTGAACCGTTCTTGAACAAGAGTTGTGAAAATGTAATGAGCACTGCAGCAATCCGAAGATTCCTAAGTACACGAAGGGGTTTATGCTAACAAGAGCGGTATCAAAGTATCAAGTTCTTGAATACGGAACCGTACAAGTCCTAATAAGCAATGCAAGTATTCACTGCTTTTGGGGCTACTCAGTATATGAAGACTGAATACTTAGATTCACAACTAAAGAGCTATGTACTGAATCCTTCTAATAGTAATGACCGTGTTCTTATATATCCAGCTCTTCAGTATGGATCACTATCTAGCAGCGTCTCGCGGATCACCGCGGTGATCCGGGTGAGCCTAGTGAGCCGCGCTCCTGGTGCTCCTAGTGATCCATCCCTGTCTCCTTCCTAGGTTATGTAATCAATGCTTTGTCAGAACGTTGGGTTCTTGATACCTGGTCCTTGTTGCTCGTGACCTGTTTCGTGACCTGCATGTTGGATGGGTCATAACACAATACTATTTTATTAGCATACAATACTTGATTATAGTTTACTCAGATTACAAGAATCTGACTATATTTATAATAATCAAAGTTTTGAATAAGTAATAAGTTAGATGAGCAGAATTTCTTTTACAATTCGACTTCAAAATTGTATATTACAAGAGCTTAGAGAACGGATGAGCAGATGCTCTTAGCAGACAATCGAACTATCGAGATGCAGATTCCTCGGATATACAGAATATCTTTGCTTAAAATGAGTTGGGAAACCTTATCAATACATATAGAGAACTGAACGCTGCCTTCAGGATTGGATCTTCGGAAAAAGACTCAGAATCAATGATTCCAGATAAACAAGATAATTATATCAAGGATGTATACGGTGTACCAGCATACGGATATCAGAGAGTTAGAGCGATCTACGAATATATTAAAAGATACTGAAATCTACTAAGCTTTAGGAAAAGGATTGAGAATATTCTATAACAATGCAATAGCTATAAGAAAAACAAGGCAGAATGATACAAGCCTTACAGATTACTGCATCCCTTACTAGTATTTATAACTATTTAGCAATCTATCAGTTTAGACTTCATTATTAAGCTATCTTTCTTATGAGAACTCTTAACTAAGATGCAATATAATAGTATTCTAGTAATAGTTTGCAAACTAAGCAAGTATGCTTACTTTCTCTCTTATAAGAAAAGCAGTATAGTAGAAGAACTTGCATATATATTTCTCAGAATAATCATTGCTAATTATAGCATACTAGAAGAAGTAATCTTCAATAGAAATAGAAAGTTTAATTCAAAGTTTTGAACTTTACTTATAAAACAATTCGAAATATATTACAAAATGTTTACAGCATTTCATTTGCAAATAGATAAATAGATAGAAAGAATAAATCAAATTATTAAATAGTACTTTCAATATTATATCAATCAGAAATAGAATAACTAGATTGATCTATTATCTCTTGCATAGTTCGCTTATAATAGCGCAGATATAAGCATAATAAAGAAGTCATTATTCTTCATACTCTACAGATATAATCTAACAACTTACTACAAAGCATTGCTTGGAGTAGATGTAGAAGCTGCGGATAAAAAGGTTAAAAAGATCAAGAAAGTTTAGAAGGAATTCTGATCAGAACTACAATTCGTTTAGGAACGAATAGTATGATATGCAAACTCCAAAAGGATTAAGGGATTAATTCTACAGGAAAGAGATAAGGTTTATCTACTTCGAAAAAACATCAAAATAATCAGATCTAGCAATAAACTCGATTACAAAAAGTTGGGACTATTCAAAATCTTACAATAAATCTTTCTGGTTAATTACGAGTTAGCATTACTTTATGGAATGAGAATATATCTGGTTTTCCATGTTTTACTGCTAGAACTAGCAGTATAGAAAATATTCATGGATAATATAGTAGAAGTAGAAAATAATGAATCAGAATATAAGGTAGAAAAAATTCTCAAGTACAGAGGTACAAATAGTACAAGGGAATATCTTATCAAATGAAAGAGTTACTCAGCGAGCGAAAATTCATGGGAATTGCAGAAAAACGTTAAAAATGCTCAGGAAAAGATAGCTGAATATTGGAAAAGGAAAACTAGCACTTAAGATGATCGCTCTGCTCCGAACCGAGATTCAGAGCCTTCAGAGGTTTCATTCTCCAGGAAATCCGATTAGTTAACTACAGAATTCCTCAGATCCACAGAATTCCAGTCAAAACCCTCAAAAGAAGAATCTCCAGCTACAACAGCAGATTTCTCAGCTATCACAGCCTGCACTTCAGTAGCAACACGCACCCTCTCAGCCTCAGCCTCCTCAGCCTCCTCTTTCTCAAGCTTCTCGAGATTCTTGAGATCTCAACGAATAGCCCGAGATATCCTCTCATACTACATCTTCTTTTGTTAATGCAGTTGAAGCAACTTTAACTCCAACTTTTCTATCTCATCCTCCAGCTTTCGATGCTGAGTAGAGATAAGGAGGAGTTCGGCAGCATTCGTTAGCTCCAGAACATTGCACTTAGCGCGATTCTGGGAAACGCACTCCAAGCAACGGGATGAATTGTGAGGAGAAACGATATACGATTGCAGGCCTCGACTGTTGCAATAAGAACAGGGATGCATATCGAAACTGTTTGAAAGAATGGACTGAAGAAGGAGATTTTTCTGCTTCTTTTTGTTGGAGCGAGGATTCGAGGATTTCAGTTTTGCGATTTTGTTGATTCTGTTCAGCATTTTGATTAGGAAGGCAAGATTATGAATACGGAGACTTGCTAGAATACTTACAGAAGATTGTTGGGAATAATAACTGATAGAAAGGGAATGATGTTATAACCTATTCAACATGCAGATTATAGAATAGGTTATGAGTAATAGGGATCAGGTATTAAGGATTTAATATTCTAACAAAGTATTAATTACATAATCCAGAGTTAGGGTTGTAAAGAAGGGAGGATCGTTAAGCTTGCTAGCAATCTCAACGAGCTTCACATCTTGAATCGCTAGACTCGCTAGCGATCCCAACGAGCTGTACTGAAGAGCTGAATATATAAGAACACATTCATTACCATTAGATGGATTCAGTACATAGCTCTTCAGTTGTCAATCTAAGTATCAGATTACTCTCTACTCTGATAGCCCCAAAGGCAGTGAATACTTGCATCACTTACTGAGACTTGTACGGTTCCGTATTCAAGGACTTGGCACTTTGACACCGCTCTTGTTAGCATAAACCCCCTTTGTGTACTTTGGAATCTTCGGATTGCTGCAGTGCTCATTACACTGCAGGCCGCGGAACTCATCCGCATAAATATAACGTGGGATGATAAATCTGGAATAACGGGATGAGATATCGATTGAATCGATCTAGTCTTGAGACGCTGGATGCATAAACAATATTCGTTACTAATAGATAGAGATACATAGCTCTTCAGCCATTATATACAATAGTCTTATGATCGCTGGACTCAGCCAAGCACGCCTGGCTTATAAGAACCCTTGCTCATTGCTCTAACGTTCATGCTTTCGTGCAACAGCGCTCGAGTCTGATAATCCGAATCTACTCCTCACAGTTTCAGAATTCGCGTGAAGATTACATGATAAAGAGCAAGCTGGCTAGCCGAAGTTGAACAATTAGGAAGTCAGATGGAGAATAGCATACCCACTGCATACAGCCCTTTCTCCCCTCTCATGCGACGTTCAAGGCCTGGGCAGAGAAGCCCAGCCTAGCAATCAGAACTAGAATTTTAAAATTTCCGCTCTAGTTTTATGAGAAGTCTTCCGCTCAAGATGCGTGGTTAGACTAGGTTAGCTTATTTATCGAGCAGCGACTCTCGCGGTTCACAACAAAGAGCTGGATATATAAGAACACATTCATTATCACTAGAAGATTTAGTACATAGCTCTTCATTCGTCAATCTAAGTTATTATTAATATACAGTGAATAGCTTCAAAGGCAGTGAATACTTGTATACGATACAACGGCGTTTCGTATTAAGAAGTATATGCTCTATACCGAACTTGCTAACATAAACTCAATCGGTTTAGAATCTACGGATTACTGCAGTGCTCATTACACATATCTATCAAAGGTATTAACTCCAATTCGTTTTACAAATTCTCTTGATTTGTACATTCTAGTGTTGGCTGGATAATATCCTTTATAATATAATCTAGCTGTGTATCTGCTGCAGGCACTTAGCTAGGCCGGTAAACTGCTTCGACTTTCAGCCATATCTTCCTTGGTTTTATTAGCAGCGCACACAATGAAGTTTCGTCCACTGGGGACCATAGACCATTGAAATAGAACAACCAAGGCGAAAAGAGAAAAAAAAGAGAAAAGAAAACGAATCAAGAGAATAAACTAACGAAAATCATAGAAACATTTAAGTAGAACGAATTGTTTATATTCATTCTATCTAGCTCCAGCCAAAGTTCTATAAGGTGATCACTTGTGATCTAGAAATTCGCTTGAAATTGTGGTAGGGCGTTATTTGGTAGTGTCCCTAGCTGTGCGAGATCGGAGCACACGTTTTCTCATGCGTGCATCATCCTGTGATATGGCTGGCGAAGCTTGTCGGGTTCTGGTGAAGCGAAATGGGCGCTTAACGGACTTGAGAGCTGGTTCATTATCGTTGTAAGCTTTTGCTGGAGTAGGGGTTGTAATCTGGTTCCTTGGAGTACTAAGTCCCTGCCCCTCGAAATACTCAGCGAGCATCTTAGCAGCTGATCATCTCTTGTCTGGGTTGAACTGCGCCATCCCTTCCATGGGTTTCGCTCGATTCACCCTCTCCAAGGCCGCATTCTGCGCTTCGCATGGAGTCTTGAACTTGCCACTTTCAAGATGTCCACGGATATTATCAATATCAAGCATCCACAATACAGTAACAAAAAGAGACCAAATATCCACCTTATTCTAAAGCTTAGACAGAGAGCTATCAAACAGTTCAGGGGCTGCATAATAATAAGTGCTAATCACAGTTTCTGCAGCAGCAAGTCTTTTGGAAAGACTGAAATCCCTAAGCTGGAAAGTGCACTGATCGCCTGGCTCTCTAACATAGAGAATATTCTCTGGCTTTATGTTTCGATGAACAATTCTGATTGATGTTAGATAATCAAGAGCCTGAAGCATCTGGCAAAGCATTAAGTCAAAGCCCCTCCTTGTTGGCACCCCCCCCTTATTAGCACCCCTGAACGGCTATACCGCCCACTTATATATACATTATTTATATACATTTCTCTTCCTATTCACCCACTACGATACAGTCCTTCTCGTCAGTAGGTAATTCGACATTGCTTTCTTCATCCTAACTATCGGCATTCCCATTTACCGCGTTTTAAGCCCTCTGTATATCTTCAATATCTGCAAACCTCGAATTTGGACTTGTATCAACCCTCCTTCTTTTAGTTGGCTTTCTAGCCTCAGCCTGGCTTTCCAATGCATCAATCTTCTCCAGGGCTCTAGCCCGTTCGACATCTCTTTCATTGAATGCTTTGCATATCTTCCTGAAGAGTATCCGTTGTGTTGGGGCTAATGAAAGCTGATGCTGATTCTTCTGTATCTGGTGGTATAGATCTTTGCCTTTGTGAGGAGTTGAAATGATAGCTGATGGGCTTGAGGAGGCTTTCTGGGTAAGCTAAGGTGCTTTTGATGCTGTTGAATTTGAATTTGTTGTAGTTTGAATGTGCTGAGGGGTGTTCTCGAGGAGAAGAGGGCTCAAGAGTGGCTTGGAGGGTCTAACAGGCCATAAACCAGAAGCTTTCCACCCTCACTTGATATTCTGACTAGAAAGACCTTCCAAACGAGCCTCGTGATAGTTCTTGAGGAATAAACGCTTGCCTAGCACTGTTGAATCCCCCTACTGGCTCGTATGACTGACTTTTCGTCTGTATGCCCTCTTGAGAGACGAGAAGACTCCTAGGTCGAGGGGTTGAAGCTCGTGAGAGGTATGAGAAGATTTAGTTCTGCAAAGATTAGGCTGTGCACGATGGCCTGAAATATTTCTGGGTGGATACTTGCTGCATTGATAAAGCTAACACGCTAGAAACAGTATACGCAAACAGTCTTTTCATTTCTCATAAACTATAACTCATATTTATACCCGAGAAAATGCCTGCCGAATATATCTAGGCCAGCGAAGTACCCAACCTTGAATACCAACTCCCAGCGTGCAAAGAAGATTGCTAGGCTCAGGCTGCTACATGCTCTTTCATTAGAATCTAGCAATGAGTAAGGGAGTAGCAATACTGACTAATGAAGACTGGTTTTGTTCTTGATAGGGGTATTTTTTGAGAACATCCGACAGAGCATTATATGCTCTTGATCTTCGTACACAGCACCTACATAAGATTCGAGATGAAGTTTTGTGCTGATAGAGTATATCAAGAGGGCCGCATTTGCACATGTTGCAGTATCTCTCTCCCAGTATTGCTCGTGGTAACTCTTTGATATACCGATCCATCCTGTAGAAAACGAGAAAAGTGTAATGAACGCTGCAGTATCTCAAAGATCCTGAAGTATTCGTGGGTTTATGCTAACAAGAGCGGTGCCAAATATAAGCCTTGAATAGGTGTAATGATGCACTGCAATACCCGAAGATTCTGAAGTGCACAAAGAGTTTATGCTAACAAGAGCAGTGTCAAAGTGATATCCACTGAATACGGAACAAGTAACTGTAATCTGTGCAAGTGCTGATCATTCGCCTTTGGAGCTATTCAAGTGTGTGACAAATGAATACTTAGATTGACGACTGAAGAGCTATGTCCTGGTGGTCTATCTAGTGGTAATGAACGTGTTCTTATATATCCAGCTCTTCAGTATGGCTCACTATTGCTCAGTGATGCTCACTGAGGCTCACTGCTGCTCACTGAGGCCCGGTGAGCACTGGTGAGCTCTTCTGATTGGTTGGCCTGTATCAACCCTAACCCTAGATTACCTAATCTTGGTTGGGCGTGTTCATCTTTCAAACTGTAACTGTAAATTCCGGCGTAAAAGTGAGCCGGAAGAAGGCATCTTCGAGTTGATCTCCTGGGCTTTCCTATGGCGGCTGGTCCATCAGCTCTAGCTTCTACATGCAAATATGGCGAGGAACAGATAGGCTAAGATCCCCAATTCTGCAGCCACGCCGGAACCCGGTGAGAGCGAGCAGAACCCCGAGCGATGAGAAAATCAACCCACGCCAGGAAACAGTTCCAACTCAAGAAGGGTCTCAGGCGCCCAAATGTGCCTCTGGTGCCGCGATTGAAAAGGGGCCGACCTGGTCTACCTGTTTTCATCTGCCGGCTGAGCTTTGGGCGGCGCAAGACGAGCTGACAAGGCACGCACGGGTATTCCGTACACAGAGCTACATTATTAGTCTCATTCCAGTGCCCTGAATGCATGCGCTAGAGCTTAATCCTACCCATTATGCAACACTATCTCAGTGAGAGCAATCATATGGAAAGAATTCAGCATGCACCCCATCTCCCCGAGCAATCTTGCTATCTCAATACCGAAGGCCAGTACCATCATATGCGCAATCTGCAATGGCCCAAGTTTCTGTTCACAGCTTTATGCTCTTATATCAATGAGAATCACATCAATAGCTTCCTTACCGATAAGTGCAAATATGTTACTTGCCTGGGCATGCCCGGGTATGGACAATCTTGGTATTGATGCCTACGTCTCTCACATCTCTGCACAATACGGCGTTCAATCTATGGAGCGTTGTCCTTTTTATCGCATCTTTCTCACTCCAAGGAGTCTGGTCACCCATATCCGGGCCCACTTTCGGCGATCATGCCCGCTTACTTGTCCAAAGCGATACTCAGCCTAGGTATCTTTATATATACAGTGCTATGCATCCCTCGAAATGCGGAGGCTTCCTCCACAGTAGCCGGTTCACTGTGTTTGGCCATTGTGTAGGTATGTTGTCGGCTTGTCGGCTTGGACCCATTCCCTGATGAGGCGTTCGCGGATGTAGCTGGGGACGTCGCAGTCCTGGAGAGCAGCAGGAGTAGCAAACGGTCCCGCCCCGGTGATAACGCCGCCATCCCTCAAGCCTTCGTCAGCATTGTCTGTGGCGGCGTTGGCCTCCTGCTCTAGCGCCCGGAAGGTGGGGTCGTCCGCCTCGTCGGGTTCCTGGTCGGCAGGGGTTGTGGGTGTGACCTCGGCTTCAGCTGCAGCAGGGGCCCCCTGGTTCCTGGCATATGAGGTCTCGACGGCGCTGGAATACCAAGACAACTTCTGCTGGTGCTTGGGAGCTTCAATGTAAATTTTCAAAATAATAAAGATAATCTGGTCGTCGAGATCCCATTTGGCTGGCATTGTTGTTTCCAACTGAAAAAAAAAATAAAAAAAAAATTAGTAACGCGTTGTATATTTCGCATGTTCATTATAGACTCCACTTCATCAGGCATTGTTAGTCGTACCTTTCTCCTTCAAAGATTATTGAGAATTGGTCCTGTCGGAATAAAGGCATTGGTCTCATGTGGGTGAAAGGGCCTTTCAGGCCCCTGACACCAGGGCCCTTTCACTAGGTTTCGGGCTAGCCGGCCCTTTGTTGTACTTTTCCTATAGAAACGGGTGCACCAGTACCTCTGGCCCCAGGATAGTTAGAAGGATGTAGTGCAAGTGAACTATGACCTGGCTTTTCACCCATCCTTCACCCCTATGAGTTCACTGCCCCACATTTGACAAAAGCACTTCGTAGACCGGTCTCTTTATTATCACCAGTTCCCACGCTCATTATCGTTTCCTGTGAGACGCCCTCCATGGCGATCCTGCAGAACCCCAAGAGACAACGAGCAGACGAGGACTTGCAGGACGGTCGACGCGTCAAGTCACGGAAGATAGATCAGTCCTCGCTGGACCAGCGCCCAGCCCAGATACCTCGTCACCAGAGTTTCGACTCGCCCTCGCCCTCACCCTCCGTCGACACGCCCTCCTGGCACTACCCACCCGAGTTCTGGGACAGACTCTCGACGATTCCGCTGATCCGCTCGGCCCTGGAAGAGCTTGACCGGCGGATTTGCGAACAACCTGCCCCTCCTCCCCCGTCGTCGCCGACAGAGCCCGCTGCCCAAGACCTCGCCCGATTTGCACGCCACGGCGGACCAGACCTGCGCGATCTTCGAGGGTATCCTGCTCCTGTGCTGAGCAAGCACCATACTGCTGCTACTATGAGCTCCTTATCTAGAAGCCAAGCAATCAAATCTACCGATCCAACAACGGTTATGACCAAGTCAGAGACAACCAAGAGTAGAAAGTCATCCCCTTACAATCCTGGGTTCGATCAGCATTTGACCGACCATGGCATTCATACCATCTGGAAGTCGCAAAAGCTAAACTTGGAGGAAGTAAAAGTGGCACTCATGGCTCCAAGGCTATCACTCTCGCTCTCTTGCTTCTCAGACAATGCTTTCGAGACTTTCTATGAGACTAATGCTCAGGCAAAGGATAAAGATGATGTGTACAAATACGTTCTTCCCACCATTACTAGCTCTCGGAAAGATAATTATTCCTTCACTGCGAATATAGCTTTCGGGAATCTAGCACCGCTCACTGATGGAACTATAGTAGCAGCTAAGCCGGACATCGCTCTAGGAGCTCTCCCTGAACAACTCAACTCAACTATTCGCAGCGAGCTCCAACACTACATTATCCCTTCCACTTCGACGGATCGATTGATAGCGCCCAACTTCTTTCTGGAGGCGAAGGGCCCGCATGGATCTGCAGCAGTAATGATGCGACAGGCTCGCTATAATGGAGCAATCGGTACTCGGGCTATGCATAGCCTGCAGAACTATGGTCAGGAGGAGCCTGTATATGATAGCAAGGCTTATACCTACAGCTCAACCTACCATGATGGCCTACTCCAGCTATTCGCTCATCATGCTACTGCGCCCGCAACATCAGGAGGCCAGCCCGAGTACCACATAAACAAGATCAGGATATTTGCTATGACAGATATGCGTGAAACTTTTGTTCAAGGAGCTGCTGCATACAGGAATCTGAGGGACCTAGCAACGCAGCAGCGAGCTACATTCATCGAGGCGGCCAACGCTACATACCGAGCGCGGGTCGCAGCTGCTCAGAAAGAGCCGATAGCTGAGGCACAGCTCTGCAACAACTCCAATTCCGTCTCGGACGAGAATTTCGACTGCGAGGCTGACCACACACCACCAGCCATCGAAAGATTACGATCTCCTGCAACGCAAGATGACCAGGGGTATAGCGTATTACCTGCGCTTGCTGCTGCCGGACCAGCGAATCCAAGCTCTATATCAACGTTGATATCGGAACGCCACAGTCGCCATAAGGCCTCTTCTAAGCGCTAGAGAGACTCGTACAGTCCAACATCGGGCTTCCATCGCAAGAAACACAGTTCTGGAAAGTCCAGATAGAGGATCGTGCCTTCCTGATCGATATGTCGGACAGAGTCAACAAATCCCGTCACAAGAAGACGGAACAAACCACTTCTCTTTGGCTTATTGCTCTTTCTCGTTGCATCAAGATGCCAACTTGTTCTTTCTGCGAGGGTTGCAAGACTCGCTGTCTTTCTTCTGAGCAGGATTTCTCGCGTTGCATCGAGTGCATTCGTTTTAAGCGAGGAAATTGCGATATGCATGGTCTCTTGCTGTTGCAGGTGGAAAAGATCGTAGCTCAGCATTCCGCTGCTGAGGCTGCCTTAGATGATGCGGAGGAGGAGCTGGAGCATGCTACAGCCAAAGTGCGCTGATTAAGAAAACAGCGCAAACTGTGGGCCGAGAAGATGGCGCGCGCTGTTCGTCGGGGTCTGGATACGATCGAGGAGCTTGATCGTATAGAGGCGGAGGAATTGGCGAAAGAGCAGCAGGCTCGTGTCCCTGCTGGTCTGGCCTTCTGAGGGTTTGTTGGACTATTCCTTTTTGGGTCATGTGGACGATGTTGGGGTTTCTGGGGCTTCTGAGTCTCGGTCCGGGGCGGAGCGATCGTCCTAGGCGCTGGTTTTTCTTTTCCAATACTCAGCTACCTTTTCTTGAGCGTTTTCGATGTTTTCCCGTAATTCCCATGAGTTTTCGCTGGCTGGATAACCTTTCCACTTGATAAGGTATTCTTGTATGCTGTCTGTGCCTCTATGCTTGAGAATCTTTTCAACCTCATATTCTGGTTCGTCGTTTTCCGCTTCTGCTGTATTGTCTGTTAGTGTTTCCTGTGCTGCTAGCTCTAGCAGTGAGATGTGGAAAACCGGATGTATCCTCATTCTGTGGGGTAGTGCTAATTCGTAGTTGACTGGGGAAATCTGTTGCAAGATTTTGAATAGTTCTAACTTTTTGTAATCGAGTTTGTTGCTGGTGAACCAGAACTAGGGCGCCGTCGCCCTCGAAAGAAAAGGAACGAATGGCTGCCGAAGCAATGAGCAAGGGCTCGTGCAACCCAAGCGTGCCTGTACAGATGAGGACAGCAAACTAAGGCCACACGGGCGCAAGAACAGGGTGAAAAACCTGTCTTAGACCTGTCCAAAGGGTTCAAAATTGAAAGGAGAGAAAAGGATGCTTTTTTCTTGCCTCTAGCTAAAGAATTTGAAAAGTGGGTGGTATTCTTTATATGTATGAGGACTCTTGACCCACTGTACTCCATGTCCTACGGACTACCACCCTGGCCACCACAACACTGGGCCTAGTCATTTTAATGTTTTTGCGGAGTGTGAAAACCGCTGCACCAACCTCGCTGACTCAGCTCCTCCTGATAAGGCATAGCGTGCCCCGCAGTGCCGATTCGGCTTAAGCCCCCGGCTCTCCGGCCATGATTCCTCGGCCTCCCGTGCATCCTTCCGTTTTCCTTCCGTTTAGACCTCGTCCGGCCTGGCTGCCCTCTCACCACTGGGGGTGGGCGGGGCGTAGCCAGGATGTGTCCTCAAAGGGCGCGTACTGCGGCCCCAACTGCTATTTACATCCCCGCGGCCCAGTGGGACAGGCTTCTGCCTCCTCAGGACTTACTTAAGTTCCCTACTCCCACCCTCCTTTGCCTGCTGCTTCCCTTCGCGCTTTATCTTGTCCTTCGCTCAGCCTGCTTTCGACCTGCCTCCGTCTTTTGCTTCTTCCCTGATGCTTTACGTATGCTTCTAATGCCCTGGTCGCGGTCCTCGGCGCTGCGCTCGTCAACCCCCTCCCCTTTCTTTCTCTCTTCCTCCCCCCGGGAACCTGTCCACTCCTCCTCTGGTCTTGCTTTTTCGAATACAAGTCTTGGTCCCTCAATCGACCGGTAATCCTTGTAATGGGCTGCAGGAAGACTGGTGTGTTACGCTTCAATGCGCAGAATACGACGGCTGAGGATGGTGAGGATGTGTGGGCGGCATCTGTCCCGCAATACAGCAAACCCAAGCTGGCAGTAAGCACAGAGAATAGCCGTGCTAGAATATTTTCGGACTGGAATAAGTATTTGTTATTGTACTATTATATATCTGGTATTCTCAGCTAACTTAATCCCAGTTTCATGTCTCTCATGCATCCTACGGTCAACTGTATGCAAGTATGAGAATTGATTATTCGGAATAATTACGAGTCCAAACTTCTCGTTCTGAAATTTATCGACAGGTATATCAAGCTCTCAAGCCGTCCTACCCGAACCTGGGATACGATTATTCTGCAGAGATAGAAGCTGGTAACCTGCATCTCATCAGCAAATGAGGTAATGAAGCAGCTGATTGCTGCTGCTGAGGCCGAAATCGTTAAGCCTCAGAGACTAAAGAACCCCGATAAGGCTTGAATGCAACTCGCCCGCCCTCAAGGCACGGATGGTGCTCGTGATATCGGGCCAGTCCGCGATATTACCAGGGTGTGTTAGTGCACTTCCCCTTCGCCACCTCTTCCTTTCCTACTCGCACCCTAAAACTTATCTTGTTTCCTTGTCTCTCCTGCCTGCAGTTCGGCTTCCTGCTCTTATAATTGGACTGTTGGAACTAATTGCCTCTGTTCAGTGGATCGCAACCATACTAAAGGATAAATGAGGTTTAACTATCGACAGCGGATATAGCAAGATGGGAGCGACGCCTGAAGACGTTCAAAGGCTGCTGCGAACACTATGGGTAGCTGCCGATCACATTCCGATGCCGCCGATAAACCGCATTATGATGCATCTATGGCTTATACTTCTCTACCATGCTGGCCCCCGACCTGGAATGTTGACTGATATACGGTGGAGAGATATCATACTATGGGTGAAACTCGACGAAAGCTGGCCGGGGGGGCGACGACCAGAGTCTAGCGTAACTCTTCACTGCAACAAGAGGAAGAGAGATGCCTTGCTGGTCGAGTCAGATGAGGATCGGTACGTTGACACTCTGATATCCACTCTTGGACGCGCATCTGACTGTACTCTAGGTTCGAATTCGACCTTATGATGATGGCTACCCTACTCCTCTGCTTCACTCACCTCTTCATCGCTCTAGCTATGAAAGTAGATGCCTTAAAGATACGCTTTAAGTCTGTGGAGGATGTGATCCGTCAGCCTATCCTTAACAGCAGCGGTTGCGCAACTTTGGAGTGGAACGAGGAGATGCTCGACAAACGGGTATTGACCCTAAGCTACGCTACCTTCCACTCATATTGGGTTCGTCTCTGCATTGTAGCAGGCTTTGAGACAGTGCTGCGCTCCTATTCATTTCGCGTTAGTGCCGGGGCAAGCATTAATAGTAGGCTACCCCTCTACCGCCTCCCCCCCTCCCTCTAGCGGGTAGGCGGCTCTTGCCCCCCTCATTTTGCTAAAGCTCACGATCTAACAAGCTATAAACAGAGCATACGACCAGTAGTACACGCTGCTATATCATGGGGCATACGAACAAAACATTTCAGAGGGATTATCAGAGCCGGAATATTCGAGTTAACTTCCAAAAGATACACTTTGGCGATCTTGCAGGGATCACAGATACTCTCCCTCTCTCTGATATCTCGCCACATTACAACCTCTTCGCCCCTATTTATATCACGCAAGACCATATAAGAGAGATTGAGATCGGCAAATGTATCCAGGAGCTGCGCTGTGATATTGACGCATTGAAAGCGCGAGGCGCTGATGCGAGCAAGATTCAAGAGGCTGAGGATACCTTGAAATACTGGCGGTCCCGTCTCCAGGAGTTGAAGCTTCTGGAGCGGCGGAGAGAATATTTCCGACAGGCCGCACAGCTTCGGCAAGAACGCGACGAGGCCAGTCTCCGAAGCCTGCAGGAGGATCCCTATCAGCATTACAACGGTCCGGGACTTCATTTAATACTAGATATCGAGAGGCTGATGCACTTATGGGCGCCAAGGACGGTCTTCGATTCCGAGGCGGAAGCCAGGGCGCTCGAGGCTATACAGTGGCTGATATATTATATGGAGGGCAGCTTTGCGCTAATCTCCCGGGCTTCTCGCGGCGCCGATCTGTTACCTGCAGCTTCTGCATGCGAACAAGGGAACGAACAGTCATGCCAGGATACCCAACCTGCAGCCTCGCGGGGATCCGGTGGAAGCGAGCAGATCGCGAGCAACGAGAAGAGCAACCCACATCAAGCAATGGCCTCAACTCAAGGAAGGTGTCAGGAACCTATATATGCCTCTGGTGTCACAGCCGACAAGGGGACGACGAAGCCTACCTGTTTCATCTGCCGGCAGAGCTTTGTGCGGCGCAGCGAGCTGACGAGACACGCACGGGTGCACAGGGCCACGTTATCAGTCCCGTTCCAATGTCCTGAGTGCAAGCGCCACAGCCTAACGCCACCCACTACGCAGACACCAGCTCAATGAAGCAACCATGTGGAAAGGGTCCACGGCAAACAGCATGCCCCCAACTTCCTCGAGCACCTCGCCGTCTCGACCTCGAAGGCCAATATTTTCGACGAAGTTACATGTGCTATTTGCAACAGCCGAGTTTCGATACACAGCTTTGCGCGTCATATCAACACGAAGCACATCGACAGCTCCCTTAACGATCAGTGCAAAATCGTCACTTGCCCGTCGTGCCCCGGTATGGACAACCTCAGTATCGACACTTACGCCTCTCACATATCCACCCAATACGGCGTCCAACCCTTGGAGCGTTGTTCTTTTTGTCGCAACTTTTTAACTCGGAAGGGTCTGGTCACACACATCCGAGCCCACTTTCGGCGGTCGTCGAGCCCGCTTCCCTGTCCGCTGTGCGAGCAGCAAGATCAAGAGGCCGCGTGCTTTGAGGATTATCCCTCCTGGCGTATCCATGCCATCCAGACTCCCGGTCATTTGCTTGAGAACTCTGCCTTAGCGCCGGTGTACTCTCCGGACGTGGTCCTATGTTATGACCCATCCAACATGCAGGTCACGAAACAGGCCCCGCTAACAAGGGACCAGATATCACGACCCAACGTCGGACACCAGCCAGGATTACATAACCAAGAAGGGATTATATAAGCTAGGAAAGGGACCACAAGTAACGACCAATCAGAAGAGGACCGCAACAGTCGACGATCAGTTCTTACGGTTCAAGCTGTGAACCGCAACAGTCGAACACCGACTTGTACGGTTCATACTGAAGAGCTGAATATATAACCACACGTTCATTACTATTAGATAGATCATTGTACATAGCTCTTCAGTCGTCAATCTAAGTATCCATTTAACACATACTTGGATAGCTCCAAAGGCAGTGAGACACTTGCATTCAGACCTCAGTGCGTTTTCCGTATTCAAGGCCTGCACTTAGCATCGCTCTTGTTAGCATAAACCCCTTCAGTACTTAAGGATCTTCGGATTACTGCAGTGCTCATTACATCCTAAGCAAGGAGCGCAAGGCTAACGAAGAGCTGATAGCCTTTTAATGCCCGGCTTTTGCCCCTTCGGATATTAGCTTTGATACGTAATGACCATCGTTTTGCGCACCGCTGTGCCTTGGTCCTACCAGCTTGCAAAGTGCATGCTTTTCCATAGTCAGCATCTCAAACATAGGTGAAGCATATGCGCTAATGCGGGAAATTTATACAGATAATTTGTCTGGAAAAAGGGCGCCAGGGCAGACTGGCTGTACGCAGGATATACAGAAGATGCAGTTCGATAGCTGGACATATGCTTACACAGACAGAATTAGCAGCGAAGCTGAGACCGGTGTTCCGTCTATAAATAGGCTGCAGACTGAACTGGATCCCGAAGGCGCGGAAGAGCTGAACAGTGAGCTAGATTCTCAGTATGTCTATATGAGACAAAGCTGGTACGCAGTTACTGAGGAACGAGAAGGGAGTTTGGCTGCCAGAGAAGTTGCTCTGACACCAAGCGAGATTGCACTGGATGGAGTGATGGGCTGCACGAGCAGTAAAATGGACTCACAAGCTGCTCCCTGTACAGCTGTTCAACTCAAGTTGCTATAAGAACGTGGGTTGCGATTTCAAGGATTGTAAGCGCGCTCAAGCGGTTGAGGAAACAAACTGAGAGCTTCAGCGCTGAACCGACCTGGAATAGTTGCTGACAGTATATTTTCTCAATTTTTCACAAGTTCTCACTACGTTTTTGAATAGCAATTTCGATTTTTTTTTTTATCTGATTATATAAAAAGAACTTTTGACTGAGGCTTCAGAGCAGAACAGCATAGCAGAAAGATGTGATACAAATGTAGCACAAAGTACAGAGTTCTGAACAATACACTTACTCTTGCGTTTGCATTTTGTAAGTATCTGCTTTCTGCAAGATAGAATGTTATATTTAGCTTGTAGAGTTAAGAACTACAGCAGATAGGAAATCCTGCAATCTCTTTATAGAGCTTGTTAGAATTCAAAGTAATCAGTCAAAGCGTAAATTTATCTAGAAATCAACTATGAAAACCTCCTAAGCGTTTGTTGCACTTATAGAATCTGTTAAAGCTGAGATCCACAGTGAGCTGCTCTTATTCCGATCTCTCCTCTGCTTATTATGTTTCGTACCCCTTTTCTTAATCCCTCCCGGTTGCCGCTTGTGACTTCTGTTGTTATGAGGTACTGCCATTCGATCAGGTTGAGCTGCGCCACTGGAAGGTGCATCGATCCGTCTCTCTCCGATAACTTCTAAGTCAGAGTCTTCGGATGAAAACATAGAAGATTCCCACTGGCAATCTTCTACAAGGCGGCGAATCTGCAAGATATACTGGGAATTTTTTGAGGAGGCGTTCTGGTATTCGAGGAGTTCGGATGTAAGCTCCGTGTTTTTGCGAACCAAGTTCGTAACTTAGTCTTGCAATTTCTTGTTTTCCAATGCAGCCTTCTCAGCAGCATTATGCTAAAAAGCTGCTTCCGTTCTAGCCTCTTGACCAGCTAATACCTGTACTGCGAGCTTCTCTTGGAACCGTTTCCAAGCTAGCTCGTTCTCCCCCTTCAACCGCTTAGTCTGCTCATGCTTTACTTCAGCCCACTGTACTTGGAGCTGGGACATTGTGAGGTAGTCTGCTTCGAAAGTCTTGATTCGTTCTCTAAGTTCTTCGTTAACCAGCTCCAGCGTTTGAGCTTTCAACAATGTATCAGTGAGCTCCTTCGTAGAAGATATGATAAGATTGCAAGATGTTGATGGGATTAGAGCTCTGCAGCATAAAGAACACTTTTTTCCCCTACAGCTCCCAGCAATTACAGTGGAATACATGTTCTATAGAATATGTTAGTATAGCATAAGTTAAGAATAGATGAAGAAGATTCGAATAGATTATGATTTGCTACAAGCTAGAGCAATGAGTCTGCAGCTATTCGAGTATGATTCCAAGCATATCTTACATTCCGTCTTCGAAATCTGATTATATGCTCGAGAGTTCATTATTGAGTATAAGAGCAGCTTTTGGATAAGAGTATCATCAGGCAAGAAGGTGTGAAGAAAAGTGCAAGAGTTAAGGAGATGTGAGTATAAGCAGTGCGACCTTATATACCCGAGACATATAGAAATGTGATTTCTTGCTACGAAAGGCGAAGCGGGATCCATTGCATTGTTGGGCTGCTTATGTCTGTTATAGCCAGATATGCGTCTTGTACTGGCTAGATCCGCTGGGATCGTCTCGGCTATCCGATCCAGATAGACAATTCCCGAACACTTTGGGTCGCTATTTCCTCGGAGAGCAATCGATACCGGGTTATTCAAGTTAATAATTCTGTCCCTCTTGGCATAGGCGAGGATTTGATCTGGCTTGATAGCATCCTTCTCGCATAACCCTCCTTCCTTCTAGGTCAAGTCGAGATCGTCCGAGCCGCCTGCGCAGGCAACCAAGCCATCAGTTATCTTCCTTTGAAGAACGCTAGCTTTGAGACCACCCGCTAAGCATTAACTCGCAGCCTATCTCGAAGGAGGATTAGTCTCAATCATATGAGCTAAGATCTGAATAATCTTATCTTCATCTTCTTGGTTCCCTAATGTATTGAGGAGCAGCTTGTTCCATTGTTTAGCTCAATTGCTTAACTTCTGATTTCCGAAAGGGGGTTTCAGAATGCTGTAAATCCATTCTAAGGTAATAACGCTCAGCAACCAGATATTCACATGGATTCCGTAGCCGGAAAAATGACCAGGAAATACCTCAGGCGCTGTATACTTGAGCGAGCTGTAGAAAGTCTGCAGCGAAGTAGAGTTAGTTGCAATCTTGGTTAGACTAAAATCAGCGATAACGACTTTGAAGAGCAGCTTTATCTTCACCAAGAAGTTCTCGGGCTTGAGATTGCAATGAACTATTATCTTATCATGGAGATGACTGAGGCTGTTAAGGATCTGGCTCCAAGCAGTAACGTATTTGCTCTCCTTGATGTTGGCATTGGCTATGCTTCCAGAGCGATAGAAGGCTGTGATAATTGCGGGCTCTGGGGTTTTCTGAAGTTCAAATACCTATAGCACATTCGGCTTCGCAGCGATTAGTATTATATTGAAATCTCTAGATATGAGACAGTGCGCTTATATAAGGATTGTCTCTCATAAGAGTAAATTCTGTGCGTATCTTAGTAAGCTATACAGTATCGAGTCCGTCCCTTTATCTCTTATTCTTATTAGGTAGAGAGCTAAACACCTTAGCAGCGAAAATCTTCCCATCTCGCTTTCTAACGATCTTATAAACTCGACCAAATATTCCCTCTCCAATCTTTTCAGCCTGGTAGTAGATAAGCCTCTCATGTGGAGTTGGAATCTCACTGGGTGCTTGAGTTACCGGCTCGCTCTTCAAGCCGAGCGCTTCAACGCTAGGGGGATGTATACTGGTTCTCTCAGCTGCTTCCTGGCACTTCTTGAGGAACGCTCGCAGATTTTGGATATAGCCCGGAGATGCTGCTGCATGGTTGGGAAACTGGATCTTTATAACAAGGCTGCTGCAGTGGATCGTTGTTTCTTCAAATTCATCGGGAGTGCTGGGTGCATCTCCCAGGATCCACGTCTCCCTGTTCCGCACTTCTGTCTGATTCTGCTCATTTCAACCAACTGCAGTGCTGTATCGCAACTCGTAGTTGTGCAGCTAGATATAAAGAGACTCGTTCACAGTAATATTGCACTGATTTTAGAGTTAGCGGAGGCTGAGCATTGGTAGTATATATTCTTATCGTAGATATTAGTATACCTGCTTGCTGCTGATCTCTCTCATTCCGCAGTGCCCCAGGAGGATATAAGATATAATAGGGTTTGTACTCAGCTGTAAACTGTTCTGAAGATTATTCAATACAAGCAGCTGATCGAAAGCTACAATCAGATAGTTGATGCTGCAATCTTGTGCATGATCAGCATCATCCAACTATAATTCTTCAGCAGGCGTAGTCTCACGACTGTTAATGGTGAGCACTAAAGCAACACCCTCAGTGCCTCTGCGAAACTACCTCGCATTGTGCTCAAGCTCGAAAGCACTGCCTGCCTTGTTCTTCTGATCATGAGCAGTAAGCACTGCAAAGATATCAGAATCATACATAATGCCTCGAAATAGCCAGAAGCAGGAAGGGAGAGAATATTGAGCAATAAAGGGCTATACAATACAGCACTTGTGAAAGAGCTGGGAACTGGAATATATCTATATCTGATGCATAGAGCAGCTTGAAAGAAGCTAGTCAGATAGTTATTCCAGCCAAACTGCACGATTGACTGGGCTGAAGTGGCAGTAAGATTAGCTGCTTCGCGCCTGAATTAAAAGCGGGACTAATGTTATTGTCAGGGGGTATGCAGAGCATCAGCCACTTAGCGAAGGATTGGTCAGCTGCTACTTTTAGTATCCTTAGCCACTCTGCCTAGTCTCTTCCAGCATGTGAACTGGCACAACATCACCTGTCCCTTCCCTCTAATTTGTGTTTTTCATCTTCTTATCCCTTGTATCGCATAGCAATCCACTACCACTACAAGTGCTATCACTATACTTCTACTCTATATACAATGAATATTCCAACTGAATCACTCATTAATACTATCAAAACCTCTAGGTCTGACAACTTCAGGTTCGTAAAGCAGCGTGATAGCTCCCTAACTCAAACGCCACCAGCTGTGCTAACGCTTGCCTCTCGTGGAAAGCATCAAGATTCCAAGCATCGAGACAGTTTCTGGCTCCGAGCAATATTCAGCTCTCCGGAGAGCAGAGTAAGGAATTGAACAACCCGAGAGCAATCCTAGAGTTAAGCTAATACAGCAGTAGCCTCGGACGGCAGCTGATAACAAATGCTCTCGACGCTGAAGCTCTCCGCTCGAGATTATTATTCATCTGTTTCTTCTCTTTATATCCTCCTTATACTAATGCTGTGGTAATGCAGGGAAATCATACCGCCTCTAGACGAGGAGGAAGATAATAAAGAATCTCGCCAGCTCGAAGCTGATGCGCGAAAGGAGCTCGAAAGCGATGGCTGTCCTGCTTATTACCCACTAGAACTCGGTATCCCTATGCGAAATCCAATGAATGAATACCAACTGATAATAGAGTACTGGCAATCATTCTCATTGACAGACGATGTAATACTTTGTGCTCAAAGAGCAGACTAGCGGAAGTTTCGAGCATTTCAGCAAAGTATCCGGAACCGGTATCAATACAATTCGTTTAGCATATTTGTAGCTAGTATTTGCGAACGTTAGCGGAAGTACAAGCTTGATAGTTATATCCAATTGCTGTTAAACCCTCAGCAGCAGAGCTAGCAACAGACTTAGATCGAGTTTCAGAACTACTATCTTACCCGCTATGAGAAGTTTGAAAGAAAGCAAGACGGATTGGTGAAAAAGTTGCATGATCTCCAGAAACAAGGAGGTGCTATAGACTTGGAAGATTCTGGATACTCAGTTCGCAGCAAGAAAGCTATTCAGAGACGCTTCGAATTTGCTGAACGAACTCTGCAATCGCATAAGATCCTCCTGGAGTGAATCGAGCAACAACAGCTTAGGATGGATTCATAGCCTCTTCCCTCCGTCAGAGAGACTGACGATGAGAGAGCCATACCAAGAGTCTCCTCTCGTTAGCGCCGATTAAGAGAATTCAACACTTCTACAGTCCGAGGCAAGATCAGAGTGTCGAAACTCCCGCTGAAGAGGTCAACCATGCGGGCCCAGATCTTGAAAGCTTCGAAATCCCAACCTATCATTACGGACTTTAGCATCATGGCCCCGGACTGTACTCAATAAAAGCCGAAGCGTCAAGGGATGAAGCCCCTTTGCCAAGATAACCCCCATCCTTCATAGTTAAGTCTTGGAGATAAGAAGACACCGGAGAGTCTCGGCGAGTATCGCCTCGCGAGGATTCGCCAGTCTCCTCCCACAGCTCGCCTGCATCGCCACAGTATCAATACATAGCTGTGAACTCCCTTGACTTCTTTCCTTTTTTTGTAAGATATCCATCCAGTTATCATTTCTAAGTATTATGGTTATTGTGGGGTAATCATCAGCTGTCACGCAACAGACCATCTCACTAGCAGTCTTTATATCCTTCCACTTCGGGTCTTAAAGGCATCAAGTTCAGATCGTGATCGTAGTTGGGTCGACTGGCGCTAAGCTTATGCTCAGCTTCGAGTCTGCTTATTTGTGAGCAAAGTTGGTCGAGGGGGCCGAGTGGTTTCTCCTTGCTTAACGTTCAGTCACTATTGCTCTTCCCAACCCTACACTCGATGCCTAGATGCCTGCTATCTAGGAGGAAGTCAATATCTAATAGAATTCAGATTCTAGAGTTCATATTCAATCAACAATTATTATATGCAGCTACGATAATCAGTAAGGAACAGTAATGCTCCGCATTCCTTTCTGATTGTATTGCTCGTCAGTTCCTGCTTGAAGATAGAGTCAAAACGGTTTTCAGAATGGAAGGCGCGAAATCCAATTCTCTTGCATATAATTCCACCAAGATGAAGCTACTTAAAGTATTTGAACTTGAACTAAGCTCTCCAACATTATTTACTCAATGCCCGCTCTTAATCATAGAAAGCTATTTGAAAACGCTACATTCTATCGCTCTCTAGATCCTCAGCAAGATATTTCCTGATTTCCAGAATAGCTAACTTGTCACACTCAGCCAACGACACCTTGAACTGGAGTCCCTCGCCAACAATCGGTCCCTTCCAGCCACTTACTAGCCCACCCTTAGTAAGGGGACTGCCCAGAGGAGCGCAAGCATCAAAGTCGATCAGCACAGCGCGCCCGACCTCATTGAACATGATATTGGATGAGCTGATATCGTTGTATGCAAACCCTAGCGAGTGCATATGCGCTGCTGCCGCTTCGATCCCGTCCATGATTTCCATGCGCTGCTGTAAAGTGAACTCCTCCAGCAGCCCGAACTGAAAGCAGTCCTCCAAGGACTTGCTATAGTTCTTGAGAACCAGGCGCACGAGCCGGCCCTCTTCCTCGACACAGCCAAGATAGCTATCCAGATTGAGATGTGGATTGCGCAAAATTATCTCGTATATCTTAGCTTCGTTCAGCAGCCGCACAGCTAGATCGCATCTACTACCAGCTAGGTAGTGGCCCAGCTTAGGCGCCTTGAAGAATAGTGTCGCGTTGTCGCTTTCTTGTTGCGGTCTGTACCGAGTGAGCTTCTCGGTGGGAAACTCGGGGTATATCTCCTCCTTAGGGATCGGGCGAAGGAGCTTAACGAGTTCATCAAATCTGAACAGGTCCTTTTGAGCGCCGTCGTAAGGCCAGTCTTTACGGTACTCTTCAAGCGGTAATCGGCCATGCCAAGCCTTGGAGCCTTCATAGACATCAAAGCTCAGGTAGCCTCCTGCCTGCCAGTTGATATCATGAGGGTCTTGTCCCTCTTCCAGGATTTGTATACTTTGTATGTTGATAGATCGCAGCTTTTGATCAACTGATGTCATGATGATATATTAGCAATGATAAAGGAAATATTGTGAATGAAGCGGAAAGCTGTGAGCATAGCTTTCTGTTACTTATTAAGCTACCTAGATACTTGTGGCGGGGTATGCATCATTGATAAGAGGGAACACAGATGCTCTGTAGACTAGCCTATTCAGGCTGTCTCTCAGTTTTCATTTGTGGTAACACTTCTTATAGAGCTAGCTTTTCTCATTAAGTCACGGAAAGGCTCAAACAAAAAGGACGATAAACAGCTATCGAACCTGCTAAGTTCAAATTCATCGCCTTGGTATGCTCTACTCTCCATTTGCTCCAGGCTTAATGAAATTTGAAATAATTAGGTAGGCAGGTTTTTGGTTCAGGCTAATTTTGTTGAACACACTTGAGCTACTATTGGGCGTCTATGCCTAAATTAGCTCAACCCCGAAAAACTTACTTTGATTAACTGTAGAATTAATCTAACTAACTGAATAAGGAGATTAGCCAATCATATTATCTAGATAAGCTATCTCCAGTGAATTTCCGCTTTTATTCCGGCTTAGGCTAAAATTTCTTGAAGTTCAGACCACACCAAGCAAGCCCTTGCCTCCCTTCCGATATGCTTGTACTCACCAAGCCTCATAACGAATAAACAACATTTCAAAACGTGCTCCTCAACTGCAAACAATCAAGACCCATCGCTTGCTACTGTTACAACGACCAGTAACATCAGACATCAAATCTATAAGCATATCCTGCAGTCTCCCCCGCATATACCCTCTAATAGTAATATGCTCATCTTACTCTGTATTCTGATAGGAATCTAATATATTCTAGCTGTTTGAACCGCAAAAACTCGATGCCAACAAGAACAACAACACGTTCTTCGTCGGTGCTAGAACCGGCGCCCAAACTGTAGTTGGGGCAGGCTAGGCAGTATATTGGCGGAATTGTACTATCAAAATCTTCGAGACGGGAAAGGAAGACTAAAGGCCTGTTGAAAGATACATGGAAACATTCAAGAGACAGTCAATTTTGAAAAGGAGCGTTAGTTTCCTATTCGAAGAGGGCGAGATGAAAGAAGTTTGATTAGCTCAGTTCTAACCATAGAGTTGTTCTTTAATCTTCATTGCTTTCCATTCTCCCAAAAAAACTGTAATTTTGCCACTCTCCTTCGCTTGATTTATTATTAACATCAAGACGCCATCCGTATAAGTCGTCTTCTTCTTATCCTCAGTCTGGAATATAGAAGATGTGCGAGCCGCTTCGTACAAGTCATCCAGAAATTTGCGTGGGAAGTCTCGCGCACAACCCCGGAGCTTAAGTAACACATCTGGCTCTACTCTAGTTCCATCAGGAAGACGAATATACCTGATCCCATCCTTAACTTTCACCATAATACGGAAATGCTCGAGAGCGCACTCCGCCACCTTCTCTGGCACAATCCCTATCTCCATCTAACACTCAAAATGTTTCTGAATAAACCCGTTTTGAAAAACCATCGATATATCGGCCACGAACGTATCAGGAACCTTAGTACTTGGTATTTTTTCGATCGAGTCCCAGAACTGATTATCAAACAAGTGGCTGGCTGGACCGATAGGGGCTCCAACATGCACACCTTTTGAGGAAGCCCCTTGTTTGAGTATTTGTTCTGGGGCATGGTGCTCAGCGTTGTGAGGGGTCGCGGTCGGTGATGCACCCATCTCGGTAGTACCTGAGTGACCTATTGATGAGCACATCGCTTGTTCGAAAGTGTGCGTATGTCGCTGCCGCTTAGCTCCATTCTTTGTGCCGCTAATGGTATACCCAACGTCGTTCGGCGTCGCGGTTGGTAGTGCGTCGATCTCGGCAGTACCTGATAAGGAGAAACGTATGAGCTGAGCACGTGGAAGTGGCTGCATGAGTGTTGAGATTGAATCTATCTAATACAAAAGGAAGATCTTCTAAATAACTAAACCAGGCTCTGAGATGGTTTATGAGGAGACCAAAACAGAGGATTAGGGTTAAATATGCCCCATTTTTCATACATCCCCCATCTGACTAATCAGATGTGCCAGAAAAGTGGGTCTTTTGTGGGGTCCCCGCAGATGCGTTTAGGCTTATGTGAGCGCGTTTTATAGTTGCCTTGCCTCCTTCTAATTCTCTTTCTTTTTCAACCAGCTCTTTTTCTATCTGTTTTCAAGGTTTTTGAAAGCTTCTACGCATCAATATGCCTCTTCTAGTTACTCCAGATTTCTCGTTAGGCGAGTCTAATGTTTCTGTTCCTCTCAGCGAGCTCAGTATGGCTGTTTCCGATAACAGCGACTCTGCTGAGGGCGAGATCCATATAGCCTCTTCTGGTTCTTCTCCCGATGTGGAGACTGATGAGGATCTCTTGGATGCAAACCCCAGCTTCCCTGCTAGTGTGTCTGAGTTGCATAGTGGTCTTTCGATAGCTATAGAGAAGAGTGCGAGCTCTGTTTAGCTTATCTTAATTCCAACTGCTGATTGGTACTCTCTTTCTGATGTAAGTATAGAAAGAGCTGTCTGGGGATTGGTATGGGCTGAACTGATTATTCTTGTTTCCAGGAATAGCGGTCTAGCCTGCTTGCTTCAAATTCTCAAGCTTTGGTTGAGTTGTTTGCTGCTTGTGCTAATATTCTGATTTTGCATTCTTCGGTTGATAGTGCTTCTGATTCAGTTGATATTAGTTTTTTCAAGTGCTTTGGTGCTAGTTCTACAGAGATTTCTAGCTTGTTTATTGATAATAATAACAATGATGATAAAGACAGCTCTGTACTTCTTTAGGAAGCGCTTAAGACTGTAGATTTGTACTGCTTTTTCTTCTAATGTTTATTTAGCTAATCCTTTTTTAAGCTTTTGATAGCTTTTCAAGTTCTGAGCTAGTTGCAATAAGGCTTGTAATCAAGCAGAGTATAGCTTGTTTGAGATCTCAGGATGCATTGATGCAGAAGCTTTAGTAGAAGCATCTTGATGTGGCTGCTGGAGATACTGCTAAGTTGAGAACTTCTTGATTGCAAGCTAAAAAGACTTTTCCAGTAGCTACTTCTTCCAATACTTTTGCTGCAGATTTCTTAAAGAGCTAAAACAATGCTTTCTGAAATACTATTTGCAATGTTTCATATATTAGCTGTATTAAGAATCTAGCTACAAGCAGCTCTAATAATTTCTATTATAATCAGAAGAACTTATCTGCTGCTTGCTATACTTAGTATTTAAAGGATTACAAGTATATTCCAGTTCCTTTCTATCTTATACTTTTTGTGAACAAGCTTTATATAGCTAAGCATGCGTTTGCTTCTGCTGAGAAGATGGATGCTTCTATGCTCTCGAAGAAAAGGATATGCGCTGGAATGGAGAAGGAAAACTCCACTCTCAACCTTGCTTCTCTGGAAATCCGATCCAAGCATGCTGTATAAGCTTAGAAAGCTGCTCTTGAGCATTTTGAGGCGGGCAAGTTCTCGAAGGTTAACGAGCTGCAGAAGCAGATTGAGGCGCTTACGGAAAAGCGTGATATGCTCCTTGCTGAGCAGAAGGCTGATCATAAGAAGGCAGTTTCATGCTCTGCTAAGGAAGAGAAGGCTGTAGTTTCAGCTAAGAAGGAAAAACAAGCTGCTATTCAGTCTGTTTTGCGCTCTGTTAATAATTACTCTGTTGAGTCTTACTGTAAATAGTATCTGAAGTATGAGAAAGCTAAAGCTGATATCGAAATAGTATTAGCTATTGTTGTGGTGGCCAGGGTGGTAGTCCGTGGGACGTGGAGTACAGTGGGTCAAGGGTCCTCATACATATAAAGGATACCACCCACTTTTCAAATTCTTTAGCTATAAGCAACAATGAAGCATCTTTTCTCTTCTTTTCAATTTTGAATCCTTTGGACAGGTCTAAGACAGGTTTTTCACCCTATTCTTGCGCCCGTATAGCCTTAGTTTGCTGTTCTCATCTGTACAGGCATGCTTGGGTTGCACAAGCTCTTGCTCATTGCTTCAGCAGCTGTTTGTTCCTTTTTCTTTCGAGGGCGACGGCGCTCTAGTTCTGGTTCAATGGTGCGGTGTGTGCGGATTTAGCTGTTCAGGCTGGTAGCTTAGGGCTGTTTGTATTACAGTTTGTAAGGATTAGTAAGAGCAGCAAGTTTATTCTATGAATAGGCGCACTCTTTTTCTCTGCTGAGCTCTTTTATTTCCTTTATCTATTATGCTTATATAATAAGCTATGTATTATATCTGAACTCTGGATTATGCCTGAGATCTCTTGTAGAGAGGAGATGGGTGGATAGAGGAGGAGTGGTGTGAGTTCTGATTGTAAGCTGATGAATGATGCATTGAGCTTGCAGGCTAATATTACGAAGAAATGAATTCCTTTTTCCAACATTTTCCATATTAATTAATAATTCTATATAGAAGCTGATATAGCTTAGATTTGTATAAGCTGTAGCGGAAAGTTTAATTATATTAGATATAGATTTATAGTTAAATTATAGAGTGAAATGCTTTTAATGAATAGTATTTTGCAGAGAAAAGTAGCATGATTAATAAGATTTGTGCTTCTTGCAATAATTTAATCAGTATGCTCTATCTAAATATATCTAGCTATATTAATTCTTTGAATTAAAAGCTTGCTAATTATATTATTTCAAAAGCAAAGAATATAGAAAGATAAAGATAAGAAACTATCAGTATATATAAGAAATAGAAATTAAGAATTATAATAATATTATCTAATATTAAACTTTAATTAATACTTTATATTTAATTAGAAATACTTCTATTAATTAGCAGAATTATTAATAAAGAAAATCTCAATATAATATAGAATAGCTAATTCAATTCTTTATTATTCATTACAAGATAAATCTTATACATACTTTACTTACAGACTGAATCTCTCTTAAGTATCTGAACTTTCTCAATCTCTATAGTATTGTTTTTTACAGGATATGAAAGGCATTTCAGCTGTAGCACTCTCAATTTAAGGATCTCGAATCAGGAAGGCAAAGAAATATCGGAGGAAGTGATAATCAAGAGGGAAGATAGCTTTCATATTTAAGAGCTCTTTCAATCAGATACTCAGTTCAGCTGACTATCTAGCTAATAACTACTATAGTTAGAACTTTAGATTCCTCTTTTATAATAAGCTTGCTGGTGGTGAGTTGATGTTGTTTGCTTGTATGAAAGTTTCTTTGTAGCTGAAGCGATTCAACTAGTAGTATTAGATTAAAGAAATTGATAATATTTAAGTATTCAACTTTATGAAAAGCTTCTATGCAGATATAATCATTGCTAAAGAAGTAGAGAGATTTATTATAAGCGCTAAAACTTGAAATGAATAGAAGAAGCAATTATTAGTTGCTTATTGCTCTTGGAATCATCTTCAGGCGTATATTTCTAAGCAGAAGCATTTGAATATTATTAATAATCATTTCATTATCAATGCTGCTAGCTTCTAATTATTCATTATAGATTATAACAATGCTCTTATTTGTCTTAAGATCAGAAATAGTTAATCTGTAGCAGAAGTATGAATAAAGCTCTCTTCAATCTGAATCAAGCGCTTCTAAGCTGATTATAGTATTATTGCTGAAAGCGTTAGCAATAAGAAGTAGCTTTATCTTATGAAAAAGCTATTAGAGATTTATTGTAAAGTATTTCAAAAGAAGACTTAAGACTAACTTGCTTCTGGTACTACTAATCTTCAACTTTATTAATAAGCTCAATTCTAAGGTTTTTCTATGCCTTCACTTTAGCTGATCCTTAATCAGATACAGCTCATTCCTATTCCATATTCGATGTATAATGCTCTTAGTTAACTGATGAATCCGTTAGAATAAGCAATAAGGCTATTATACTATTAACTGCTTCAATAATTAACTTATAATTAACAAGCTCAGCCTGAACTAACTAAGCAGATCTTAAAAGCTAAATCTACTTAGAAGAGCAACTAAGACTATAACTAGTTAGCTTTAATAATAAAGCAATTCTACATTAACTAAATTGCAATAGCAAAATCCTTAAAGCTGCAAACTAATACTCTCAAACAAATACAGAATATTTTATATAATCAAACTAAAGCTTTATAAGAAATCTTATAACTAATTAAGTATTTCCAAACTGTTTCTGCAAGAAATCCTTTCCAGAGAAATGCAAATTCCTTGCAAATAGATATTATCTATACAAGTTTGGAGAACAAGAATAAGCAATACTCTGAAGTATAGCAAGCGGAGATTAATGAAATTCTGAAGAAGAATGAAACTCTGCATAGATGCTATAGCTGTAAATTGAAGTTCTATAGAGCTTATAAGTGCGTAGAACTTCATATTATTATGAATTGTAGCATCTGCTATACTCTAGCATTAGCAAAGTGTAATGAGCACTGCAGCAATCCGAAGATTCCTAAGTACACGAAGGGGTTTATGCTAACAAGAGCGGTATCGAAGTGTCAAGTCCTTGAATACGGAACCGTACAAGTCTTAATAAGCGATGCAAGTGTTCACTGCCTTTGGGGCTACTCAGTATATAAGACTGAATACTTAGATTGACAACTAAAGAGCTATATACTGAATCCCTCTAATGGTAATAACCGTGTTCTTATATATCTAGCTCTTTAGTATGGATCACTGTCTAGCAGCGCCCCGCGGATCACCGCGGTGCTCCGGGTGAGCCTAGTGAGCTGTGCTCCTGGTGCTCCTAGTGATTCATCCCTGTCTCCTTCCTAGATTATGTAATCAATGCTTTGTCAGAACGTTGGATTCTTAACATCTGGTTCTTGTTACTCGTAATCTGTTTTGTGATCTGCATATTGAATGAATTATAATATCATCTTCCTTCTATCAGTTGTTATTCCTAACAATCTTCTATAAGTATTCTGGCAAGTTTTCCGTATGCATAATCTTGCCTTCCTAATTAAGATGTTAAACAGGGTTGAGAAATCTTTTTCCAAGAAAACTGAACAGTATAACCGTCTTTTCCTAGCTATTGATCAGTTTGGTTTTGAGATTATGCTTTGCACCGCTTGCGCTTCTCAGAGCCTGGTATGCAAGATGATGGATAATGCAAAGTATTGTTCTCAGTATATCCGTTGTACTTGTTCTTGTAATGGCTGTAGGGTTTCTGTTTCTGCTCGTAAGTCCCCTCTTCTCCTTTTCTAATCTCTTTGCTAATGTTCCTTTCCTTTTCTTAGTTTCGCGCATTATAGCAGAAGATAAGAGGCTGGAATCGAAGGAGTGGGAGGTGGAGGCAGAGCTGGAGGGAGCTCATCATCGAGCGTTGGAGGTTCTTAACGAGGCTTGCGCGAAGATCTCGGAATCCGCTGCTCGTCTTGCTCGCCTGTGCATCCAGCATAGGTCTCTTGCTTCCCGGGGCGCTCAGATGGTGAATGCGGGCCTTGAGTCTCTTGATAAGCTGGATGAGCGGGAATGTTGTGAGGAGGAGGAATGCAATCTTGCTGCATTGGTTCGTGAAGCAGTATCGGCTGAGAGTATTTTGGCTGAGGATTCCCTGTTTGATGGTTTTGACTGGAACTCTGTTAACCCTAGTGGGGCTGTTGTGGATTATTCTGGATTTTTGGGAAGCGAGGTTCCTGAGGCTTCTGAATCTCGGTCCGGGGCGGAGCGGTCGTCCTAGGCGCTGGTTTTCCTTTTCCAATATTCAGCTACTCTTTCTTAAGCATTTTTAACGTTTTTCTGCGATTCCCAAGAATTTTCGCTTGCTGAGTAACCTTTCCATTTGACGAGGTATTCCCTTGTATTATCTGTGCTTCTATACTTGAGGATCTTTTCTACCTCATACTCTAGTTCGTTGTTTTCCACTTTTGCTGTATTGTTTGTTAATATTTCCTGTGCTGCTAGTTCCAATAGTAAGATATGGAAAACCGGGTATATCCTCATCTCATGAGATAATGCTAACTTGTAGTTAACCGGGGAGATCTGTTGCAAGATTTTGAATAGTCCCAACTTCTTGTAATCGAGTTTATTGCTAGATCTAGTTATTTTGATGTTTTTTCGAAGTAGATAGATCTTATCTCCCTTCTGTAGGATTGATCCCTCAATTCTCTTGGAGTTTGCATATCGTACTATTCGTTCCTGGATGAATTGTAGTTCTAATCGGAGTTTCTTCTGAACTTTCTTGATCTTCTTAATTCTTTTATCTGCAGCTTCTGCATCTGCTTCTTGTAGTGCTTTGTAGTAAGCTGTTGGGTTGTATCCGTAGAGCGTGAAGAACAGTGATTTCTTTATTATGCTTATATTCGCGCTATTATAAGCGAACTGTATGAGAAGCAATAGATTGATCCAATTGTTCTGTTCCTGATTGATATAGTATTGAAGGTACTATTCAATAATCTGATTCATTCTTTCTGTTTATTCATCTGTTTGCAAATGGAATGCTGTAAACATTCTGTAGTATATTCCGAGCTATTTCATAAGCAAAATCCAAAACTTCGAGCTGAACTTTCTATCTCTATTGGAGATTACTTCCTCTGATGTGCTGTAGTTAGCGATAATCGTTCTGAGGAATGTATATGCGAGTTCTTCTGCTGTACTGCTTTCCTTGTAAAAGAGAAAATAAGCATACTTGCTTAGTCTGCAAATCACTACTAGAATGCTATTATATTGCATCTTAGTTAAGAGTTCTCGTAAAAGAAGTAGCTTGATAATGAAGTTTAGACTAATGAATTGCTAAACAGTTGTAGGTACTGGTAAGGAATGCAGTAGTTTATAAGGCTTATATCTTTCTGCTTTATTCTTTTTGCAGCTATTGCATTGTTGTAGGATGTTTTCAATTCTTTTCCTAAGGCTTGGTAGATTCCAGTATCTTTTGATGTATTCGTAGGTTGCTCTAACTCTCTGATGCCTATATGCTGATATACTGTATATATCCTTAATGTAGTTATCTTATTCGTTCAGAGTTATTGATTCTGAATCTCTTTCTAAGGATCCTATTCTGAGAGCAGCATTCAGTTCTCTGTATGCATTAACGAGGTTTCCTGATTCGTTTTGAGCAAAGATGTTCTATATATCCGAGGAATCTGCATCTCGATGGTCTGATCTTCTGCTGAGAGCATCTGCCTATCTGTTCTCCAAGCTTTTGTAGTGTACAATCTTGAAGTTGAACTGTAAGAGAAATTCTGCCTATCTAACTTATTGTTTGTTCAAAACCTTGATTATTATAAATGTAGTTAGATTCTTGTAATCCGAGTGAACTATAATTGAATGTTGTGCGCTAATGAGATAGTATTGCTACTTCTCGAAGGCTTTCACTATCGCTATGAGTTTCTAATCAGGAATCCTATAGTTGATTTCCGAGCTATTCAACTTCTTTGAGAAGTTGCTTATAATCCTTAGATGCTCTTGGTTATCTCGTTGATTCAGCTGTTCTTTGAATGCATAATCCAATGCATCGGTTTCAACTTCAAAGGATTTGTAAGGATCTGCTTCGCACAGAATTAGCTCTGATGTAATGTGCTTGATGATCTCATCGAAAGCTTCTTATGCCTTAGGGGTTTACTCGAAGGGTTGCTCCTTTTTGATAAGATTTGTAAGAGGATGTGCGATTCAGCTGTAGTTCTTAATGAACTGTCTGTAGAAGTTAACATAACCGAGGAAAGACCTAACATCTCTAACGTTTTTGGGAATTAGCTAGTTTCTAATAGCTTCTATCTTATCCTTTTGTAGCTTGATGCATCCTGGCTTAATTGTGAATCCGAGGTAGTTGACTTTTTGTACGTAAAAGTAGCTCTTTGCAGGTTTCACAAGGAGTTTTGCATCTTGGAGCGTTTGCAACACTGTTTCCACATGTTTCTTATATTCTTCAAGTGTTTGAGAGTAGATAAGAATATCGTTGAGGTAAGCAATAACGAACTGATCTAGATGCTTGTATAGAATGTGATTGATTATTTCCTGGAATGAAGCTGAGGCATTTATTAAGCTGAAGAGCATAACCAAATATTCGTAATATCTGTAGTACATTCTGAAGGCAGTTTTCCATTCTTCTTCTTTCTTTACTCTGATCAGGTTATAAGCTTCTTTCAGGTCTAGAACTGTAAACTACTGTACTCCTTGCAGTCTGTCTTGCAATTCCTTGATGAGTAGCAACGGATATCGGTTCTTAATCGTAATATCGTTAAGTTGCCTATAGTCAATGCATAGCCTAAGCTTGCTGTTTTTCTTGGGTACAAACAGGATGGGGTATCCTGCTGATGATTGCAATGATTGTATGTATCCCTTCTTAAGGTTCTCGTCGAGATACTCCCTAAGTGCCTCTAGCTGTGCCTTGTCTAGTCTGTAGATGGGGAAGAATTTGGGCTGTTTCTCTTCTTGTAGCAGGATCTTGTGGTTGTATGAGCTGTGTTCTGGCAATCCTGTGTTCAATTCTTCCTGGAACAGTTTCTTGAACTTGTGATATTCTTGTGATATGTTTGCAAGTATTGATTCTGGTCCTTGTGCTGTTTCTGCTACCTGGAGGAACAGTAGGTACTGTTGAGCGTGCTTCTTTTCGTTCGTTGTTTTTGGTGACGTTTTTGAGAGCTTTGAGCGTTTGCTCCGAGCTGGACCGAGCGCTCAAGGGCCTGGTTTCGAGGTTTTTCCTGTGTGGATCCACAATCCACTTTCTGAAGCCTTTCCTTGTTGCTCCGGAGCGGACTAACTTGCTGAGAGTCTTGCTTCCATTGTTTTGCTAATCTGTTGGCGCTCTGGTACTGTTTGGGTTCGCCTGTTATTAGATCCTTCTCCTTGAACTGCTAGCTCTGCTGACTTGGAGGTATGTATGAAGTTGTATAAAGCCTCTTTTCCTGAGTGTTCTTCAATCACTAGCTTCGATCCTGCGCTATTGATTGTAACTATCTCTCTGGGTACAGCTTGTTCCCATGAGATCTGGCTAGTAGCCCAATCGATTCGAGGATTGTGTTCTTTGAGCTATGAAAGCTCTATAATCAGCTTATATTGTGCTGTATCCGTGATATCAAAAAAAGCTCTAGTTGCACGTTCTTGGATTAAAACAGATAGATAATCAGTCTTCTTATTGATTACTTCTTGGTTGTATGCAATAGATTGTTCTTCTATAGTACTAAGAGTATATGAATATCTCTTCCATCTCCATTGTAGTTGTATCTGATTGATGATATGTAGGGATATGAAGTTTCTCTGGGCGCTACTGTTCAATAGTGCGCTATACTTGTGTTCTTGAATGTATATATTGAACTTGATGTAAGTGTAATCTGTTTTGAAAGCTTCATATAGGGACTATTCCGGTCTAATCGTTTGCAATCCCTTTACAAGCAATTCTGTTCTTTTGGATTTGTTGAGAACTGCTTATTCTTCTGAGCTTGCTTCGCTACTTCTTAAGCAAGCTTCTTAGCTTGTTTTTGCTTGTATCATCATTATTCCTAGTCTTTCTTCTATTGATGCTAGTTACGAACTTTATCATTGATATAAATCGTGCAGAGTATTGTTTTGCACTGCTATTACTCTATCTTTTTATCTATGCATTGCATAGGGCAATCATCCGGTAGCTTAATATATGCATTATAGTGTTGTTTGTTGAGAACCTCTCTGAAGCGGAGTTTCTGTTCTTCAACAGTCTGAAGAATTTATCCTGGTTCTCTGATGGAGAACTATTCGTATTGCACCTTCTCCGAGAAATGCGTTCTGTAGCTATGATAGATGCAGAAGATTCAAGCTAATTCGTGATATAGGTTGTAAAGTAGGCTGATCCGAGAGTTCTTATCTTCTCGTATCTTGATGCTCTGTAAGGAAATGCAGATAAAGAGCTTCTCTAGCTTTATCTTATAAACAAGATGTTCAATCTATGTTGTTTCCTTATTCTATCCAATGCTGAAGGGAAACCTTCCTGTAGGCTTCTTGGATTCGTTGTTCACAGGAAGCTCTGGTGAACTATTGGATTGCTCGTTCTAGCTTGATTTTTCTATTGCTTGAGAGGCGTTTTCGGTGTTGCTTAGATGTTCATACCAGTAGCCAAGAGGATACTATCTCTTATCCATATCCCTGGTCATAGTGCTTGGCATAGGAAATGAAGAATGTTGAAGGGTATCGTTGCTAAGTTCTTCTTTCAACGTCTGGATGCTCTGTTCCGCGATGTTAGAGCAGTCCGAGTTGCTACTCGTAAGGGTGCTGGGCGTGCACTCTCGTCCTGCTGTTGCTATTTGTCTGCAGCGCTGAAGCTTCTGGGGGAACTATCCTGAACCTTCCTTACTCGAGAGGTGTATTAAGCAGTTGTTATTATAGCAGAATGTCCAGCTGAGACTTCCGTAATCAATAGAGTTCGATACTTGCTCTAAGGGGGTGTTTCTGCTCAGTTGATTAGGTTTCTGTTATTGAGCAACATTCATCTAGCATTCTTCTTGGACTGGTTGCTATTTGTTCTTCCGAGGTTGATAGCAGTTGCATGCGATATATTCTTGTTTGTTGCAGTTGTAGCAAGTAATGCTGTTCTTCTTGCTATACTGCTTATTAGCTGCATCGAGTTCCATGGGATCAGCGTGTATAGTGCTGCTCTGAGCTGTACTGCTATATCGATCGCTATTCTTGTTTTGGAATTTCTTGCTCATATTAGCTGGAAATCTCCAAGTCTAGCTTTCTCTCTTCTTGAACTTCTCCATCCATCGTTTA